AACCTATAGTATAACAAGCAACATGCTGGGTCCTAGAAATACAAAGATAAATAAGATCTGACCTTTGTTTTACCTCATAGCATATATTAGCCTAAAGGAGAAAGATCCATAAATGAATAATGTTAGTACAGTGGGTTAAGGTCAGTAATTTAAAATGAATCTTATCTGTCTTACTCATCTCTGTAACTACAACACTAAGAACAGAATTTGAGTACATTAATGGTGTTCAGAAAATGTTGAATGAAAAAAAAAGTGAATAAATGCATGTAGTAAGAAAGGTAAATTGGGAGACAATCATGAAGGAATTTATACACCATAAAACAGATTTTGGACATGTATTTAACGAGTAATACTGAGGAGAGATTGTTGCTTAAAATAGAATTAGGGTTCCAACAGCACAGTGGATGATGGGACTGTTGGCAAGGTGGTCCAGCAGCATGAACTGAATTGGAATGAAACTGCCCCAAAGGTCAGACAGCAGGCAGTAGAGATGGGAAGAAAGTGATAATTCTGAATTACATGAAGAGTGTGTTACAGGTCATGAATATGTTACCAATGTGTTGGAGTAAGAAGTGCTATCTTCATTTAAAGTTACTAATCCTAGAATTCCAAACTACACAGGTGTAGAATTTGCTGTACTTAGAGGGCCAGTGAGGATGAAGGAGGAGAAAAAGAGTTGAAATAGGTGAATGGGGTAAGATGAGAGAGTGAGGAACACAAGCTTATAAGCCTCAGCAGTTGGGAGCTATTGGCAATGAGCAGAACCTTGGCAGACACGAAGGATGTTTGCATATGTCTGTGGTCATTGAAAACATTCGTTGGATTAATTTGGAAATTAAATTTCTGTTTTAATTTTTTTGTTTCATGTCAATATACATTCAAGATGGTAAAGAATACACACATACGTTATGACTCATATTCTAGGAATAGTATAGCTTGAGACAGTGCCTTTGCAAACAGAATTACATCTTCTGTTTGTATGTATTTGCAGGCAACCAGAAGTTTCTGGCATAATTGCAGAACTTACAATATTTTAATTTATACTTTACAAACAGATGGACACAGAACAGCACTCAAATAAAATGAGGGCATGATCTCAGTAGAGATTATTCTGATCAGAAGTCATGTTCAAGATGACTTCTTTTTGAAAGAAAATCAATTGAATCCAAGTTACTGACAAAGCATTACTCCAGAAAGTGAATCTTTATATGAATCATCATCTATGATTCATTATTCCCCTGCATTTTAACATTTTTAACCTTCCTTGATCTGTCCATTTACTCAGCAAATATGTATGCACATGCCAAACACTCTTGTCGTGGTGAACAAAACAGAGACACCATCTGCCCTCAAATAATTTATAGTTTAAACAGAAATAGAACAAGAAATAAGCAATTACAATGCAACATATTCAGGTAAGCACAAGTGAACAGACTTGGGTAGTGTTGCCTGAGACCTGCAGAGCCAGCTGGGAAAGGTGGTAGGGAGGTGTTTCCATATTGGATTTGCTTCTCCCTACACCATAAGTTTCCCCAAAAGAGTGAGCTGCTTCCCTTTTAAACCACAACCTATATTTGATCAAGATTTCTACCGGCTGACATTTGACAAAAAATGACTTCACCAAATATTAAAGATGATGAGAAAGAAAAAAAAAACACAGAAGATACAAATAGTATTGAAATAGTCAAATATCCAACGTGTCAAGTTTTGTTCCTGAAGAAGGAGGTAGTACATCTTTGCTTACTTCTAGCCTGACTTTTGCTCTCCTGGGACCATATCTTCTTGGAGAAGGAACACTTATTTCTATCAGTGGGAAAGCAAATTTCTATATAACTGTTCATTTCCTAGGAAAAAGAAAAAAAAAATGCTTCCCATAAATACCTTTCATTATTATTTCTAATACTTGACAAAAGAGATATTTTTTCCCACATCTATTTTACATGCCTAAAGTAAACAATAAAATTAATGATATCATGCTGTTCCATAAAAGGTAATGTTTTTACTGGTGCTGCTTGCATGGTATAATACTTTAGCTGTGTAATGCATGCACATGTACAATAAGAAATGACACTAAAACACAAAGGGAATTTACATCCTTGAGCAATTGCCATATACAGCAAATCCCTCTCCAGTTAACCTGAGATGAAGACTACAGCAATTTCTAAAAGTTACTGAATTTGTCTCTCCAAAGAACTTAGGTCCATATGAGTCTGTTTCTAGGAAATAGGAGTTTATCTCTGTTTTTTACTCTCCCCCTTCTGTCATTTCTTAGGATTTCTTCTCCTAAAAATATATATATTTTTTATAATTCTCTGTTCTTTTAAATTTTCTCTTCCTTACCTTTAAGGTGGTCAAGACCCATACCTAGGGAGGTGGTCAGGGTCGAGGAGACTAGCTGGGGCTGACAGGCATCAAGGTGATGGTCTAGACCAAGACAGCCAGCAAGGTTTTGAGGTGTGAGGCCAGAACCAATGAGGCAGCTGAGACCAATGACACTCAGGTGGGGGTGGCCAGCAGAATTAAGGTTTTAGTTACATACAGGGTATATAATCAAATACATGTTGAAGATAATGCAATACAATTTATTTTTCACTGTCAGAGAAAGTGTTACATATATGGAAAGGGTAAAGGCTAGAATGAACTCTTGGGAATTGAATTGGAACTTGAAATACCAGTATCAATTCATGTTTTAAATATAGACAAATAAATAGATAATAGATATGTTTATATATATAATATAAATAATTATATAAAATGTATAACTACATATAAAATATATATAGTATTGTTATATATATTGTGATATATCTATATAAAATATATAAAAAATATAACACTATAAAATATATAGTATTATATGTTATATATAGGGGTATATTTATATATAAATATGTATATATATTTTATATATACAGAGGTTGGCAAAAGTAGGTTTACAGTTGTGAGTACATGAAAGTTTATACTTGTATTATTATTTATTTATTTATCTTTTATCCTCACCCGAGGACATTTTTTCATTTTTTGTTCAGATAGAGTGGGAGGGAGGGAGAGAGAGAGAGAGAAACATCGACGTGAAAGGGACACATCGAGTGGCTGCCACCCACACAATCCAACCAGGGCCGGGGACAAACTGCAACTGAGGTACACGCCCTTAGCGGGAACCGAACCCGGGTCTCTCTGAACAGCAGGCCGACGCTCTGACCGCTGAGCCAAACTGGCCAGGGCTGTATTATTATTTATTAATTATTATATGATTTATTTGTATTACAACTGTGAACCTTTTTTTTTTGCCCTTATATCTCTAATTCCTAGCTCTGGGCCTAGAAAAAGGGCCTACAAACCGACACTCAGGAAGCAGTGGGCACACCCAATGACCAGATCTTGGTCTCTAAAAACTGTTCTTAACTAAAGAAAGGATTATAGGAGAAAGGGCTTAATCAAGAACTAGAACAGAAAAAAATACAAGATGAGTTTGGAATACCTTGTGCCAGAAAGTAAGGATGTACTCAAATCATGATGGATATATGCTAAAAGAGAATATATGTGCTAACTTCTAGGGGCTCCTACTGACCCAATCTAGATAAGGTGAATATCAATATAAATAATGATGTTAATGCATTGTAACCCTTTGAATAAAATTGTTATTCTTAGTTCATAGTAATGTAAATAAATAAATGAGTAATCAAATGTGAGAGAGAGACACTTCCCTTCCTATATAATGCTAACTAAGAAATATAGATGGAATAATGGAATTAGAAAAGCATTACTTGTAAATCATCATTGTAATAATTGATTCAGGAAACTATCATCAATGTCTAGAAGGTGAACATTTAAGGAATAAAAGGATATCTATGTAGTTTCAAATCATCTCCACACAAGTGAAAATTAATAACTTCATGGTAGAGAAACTTAGTAGAAAAACCTTAACCCACTGATCAACTTTAATTGCCTCCTGACCTTGTGAAGAACAGGGCATCACAGTTCCTATTTAAATCTCATTACATGAGTCTAAAATGAAGAAATATCAGATAAGCCAACAATAAGTGACATTCAAAAAACAACTGGTCTGCACTCATCCGGAATATCAAGGTCACAAAAGGCAAGGAAAGACTGAGCAAATGTTCCATATTGAAGATTAAAGATATATGATGACAAAATGCAATCCATGAATTGTAGATTAAATGCTGGACTAAGTGAAAAAATATTTTTCTGCTATAAAGGACGTTATTAAAACAATTGGTAAAATAGGAATGGGTTTTTAGGATTAGATGGTAGTGTTTTATCAATGTTAATTTTCTGATTTTGTTGGATGTATTAGGGTCAGTAGGAGAATGTTCCTTTTCTTTACAAAATACACTTAAGTATTTAGGGGTAATGGGCATCGTGTCTGCATATTAGACTCAAATAGTTCAGGGAGAAAAACACAGTTATAGACATAGACATAGACATGCACATACACATAATAATAGAGATATATAGACAAATGTAACCACATGTGAACTACAGAAGTGGGAGTTCTTTTTACTGTTCTTGCAACATCTGTAAGGTTAAAATTACTTCAAAATAAAACACTTTTTAATGAAGAAAATATGAAGCTGAAAAGGTAAATAGCATTATCTATATTTCAATATTACTTAATAATTTTTCAAGCATTGGACTACCATGAAGGTATATTTTAATGTGACATCATACTTTTCAAGCATTATACTGTATGACCCTAAAGGTCAAGTTACATTTCATCTTATTTTTTCTTTCATCATATATATGGTCTAGTACCTCATTTGAAACAAAAATTAACGAAAATACTTGTTTTAATAAATGAATAATATATAAAACTTGCAAAAGTAACTACTAAAAATTCTTAAGTGTTGGTGGCATTTCTTCTTTCTTTTTTTCCAAGCTGATATATAAATGGTATAATTTAGAATCAGACATCCAGTTTTATTCTCAATGGAAGTAATAATGCAATTCAATTTGCTCACTCTTTCTTTCTCGGCTAGGTATCATACGTCAAAGCTATTGACATTTGGATGGCAGTATGCCTACTTTTTGTGTTTTCAGCACTTCTGGAATATGCAGCTGTAAATTTTGTATCAAGACAACACAAAGAGCTTCTGAGATTTCGACGAAAGAGAAAGAATAAGGTAAGCAGTTAAATGCATTGGGTTCACTGGGATACCAACTTGCAGTAAGAAGTGAATTTGTTATATTTAATAAGATGTGCAGAGAGGAAGTGGAGACTGGGGACCAAATGATATGACGTTTCTTTGGTTTTGGGTGATTGAAACTTAAATTGTCACAAATAGCTTCAGGAAGAAAATGGCAACATCTAGCTACACTGGACACAGCCTATCTAGTGACATGAGAACTTTATCATCTTCTTTCTAGTGTATTTCCTGACATGACACCAATTTTTGCTTTCATTAAAAAATGTATTATTTTTTTATTTGCTATGTTATAGTGCTTCTGATGATTTTACTGGACTTAGTCATCAAATATAGCTATTAAACTTTTTCCTGTTTTTGAACTAATTTCTTTGTTTCCATCCAATATTACCTATTTATTAACATTTTGATGTTCATGTATGTGGTCTTTTTCTATATATATTTTTAAATTTTAAAAATATTTCTTCTGAATTCTCATGGGAAACACAATAAGGTGTTATTTTTGTCTGACTATCACCTGATAAATGAGACCCAGAACAACTGTTCTTTAAAACATATTTGGAGACCACAAGAAGTTGTAGAAATAATATCTTAATTGGATTTAGATGTACAGGATGGAATTGTTGCTCTTTATTAAGACTTGTAATGTCATCTCTTTTTACATATTTTTACATAAATTTACATAATTTTATTCAACCCCTTTCCTTTTCTGTAAGGAGGAGTTTCTATTAACTAGAATGTTTATTACTTTACTTTATTTAATGTGAATGAGCCAACTAATATTTTGAAAGCAAATTGATTCTTAAGCAATAGAGAAATATCAAAGTCCATATAGTGTGCATTTTTAAGGCTTTACTTTTTTAAAGGATTCCTTCTGATTTCTGAATTATTGACTATGATATATAGATTCATAAAACCTTTTTTAAAATGACTGACTCATTTTTTTACCCCTTTATTGATTGATTTTAGAGAGAGAGGAAGGAAGAGGGAGAGAGAGATAGAAACATTGATGAGAAAGAATATTGAGTGGCTACCTCCTGCATGCTCCCCACTGGGGATCTCGCCCACAACCCGGGCCTGTGCCCTGACCAGGAATCAATCCGGCAACCTCCTGGTGCACGGTCGATGCTCAACCGCTGAACCACTTCAGCTGGACGATTCACAAAACTTTTTAAATCACTAGGCCATGATCCCTCAGTTCTAAGCCTACTCAGTATTAATCATCTTCTAAAGCAATAACTTATTCATTCATTTCGAACTGACTTCCCACATCATCACCTGCTCCAATAAATACCCAATTCAGTATAGCATGGAAGAAACATCAGCATTTCAACACACTGGGTAATGCATTGGAGAATAAAAACAATGCCAGATCTTGCATTTGATCACATTTTTAGAAAAGAAAAGCATATAATTTTTACATTAAAACATATTTTGATGGGAGATTAATTTTTTTAGTTTATTTTCCCTGACCTTACCCCTATTGGTTGGTTTTCTTATACTTTTCTCATTCTTCCTCACTCCCCCTTTCTCTTTTTTTCTCCCCCTATTTCTGCCTCCCTTACTACCTATCTGTTCCACCTTTTTCTCTTGAGACCTGGTACTGGCTGAAATACTTTAACAGGACAAAAAAATTCTGTATCACAGGGCTGAAACTCTTGCCTTTCCCCTTAATGGTTAATGAAGACACTTTTTCCTTCTAATCTCCTCAGTAAGGCAATACTTTATTTCCCCTCTCAATTCGCTTTGCTTTTTTTCATATACTTTCCATTTCCCTACTTTTTTCCTTCTTTCTACAATTTAAATTTTATCAACCTAGTGCTGTAAACATTAGAAATGAGAGGTGTTACACACGTGGTGTCCAAATGGGGGCTGAGAGCTCAGACATTCTCTACTCCCACCACACATCCGACAGTATCCAGTGGGTAACATAATAGACTACAGATTACTTTCTCCTTTCTGGTCCCTCCTTTTAAAAAATTATACTTACTAAAGCAGCTCTTTATTCGGCTTTATGACCTGTTAGGATGTCGGGATACAGACATTTGCCATTCCTTCTTCTTTAGCACAAAGAAAGACAGCAAGATTAATTTTTCTAGTGATTGGCACTCTAGGAGAATGCAGAAATGCAAAACTAGTCATATCTTATTTTCTAATCACTATTTGAAATAAACAGGGAGCAAATATTCTAATTAAGATTTAGTTCAAGAAATAAATGCTAAAACCAATTATTTTTACTTTTAGTTCATTTCATACTTCGGGGAGTAGATAACTTGCATATGTGAAAATCTATTAATTGATATGCATGCTTGTTGAAGTGATTTATGCAATTAAAACTAATTGTGCATTATATTTAATCATGTATGCCTTGATTTTCTGGTTTCTCAATCCCTCTTGGTCCACTTTACCTTCCCACAGACAGAAGCTTTTGCATTGGAGAAGTTTTACCGTTTCTCAGACACGGTAAATTCACTTTCTTCACTCAAAGTAGAGGAATGTGGTCATCAGTAAAAAAAGCAAAAGCATATTCTGCACCAGGCAGTGTTTGGTGGGGAAACACAGCCCCTTGCATATTTAAAGCCAAACAACCACTGTCCCCCTTCATTTAAGAATACTCTTTTTCTAACAATTCCCCAGTCAGTAAAAAGATATCCTCTTATTAACCAAGTTATTTGATCAATCAAGAAGATTTTTAATATATTAAGCAGAAATATTACATATATCTTATTATAGTCTTCGTAGAAGAATGCTTGGACAAAACTAGTTTCAAAATAAGTGGGAAATTTATTTATCCAAAAAGTTTAAAAGCAGCCCCTCTTACAATATAAGCTGATGAACAAAATCGACCCAGAGACATAGAAATGAATATGGTTCAGACTGACAAACCTCAGAGGAGGGGGTTGAGGAGGATGGATGAGATAAACCAAAGAACTTATATGCATACATGCATAACCAATGGACATAGACAACAATCCTGGGGGCGGGGATAGGGAGGAGGGTGTCTGGGGGAGGAGGAGAAACATCTCTAAAACTGTAAAAAAAGAAATTAATTCATAATAATAAAAAGAAAAAACATTTTTATAATAAAAACTAAAACAACAGCAAAAAAACCAAACAAACAAACAAAAAAAACAGCCCCTCTTGCCAGAAAACAGAAATCTAAATATAAGGCAAAACTAAGAAGCTTTATTCATCCTATGTATCTTTAGAACTCATTTTGAATATTAAGATATGTTGATTCTTTATAGTAAATGAGTAATTTTGGTCTTGATAGTGGTATCCTTTAAAATGCTTGATTAGAAAGAGATCACAAGGACACATTTCCAGATTCAGTGATTGAATTTAAGCTTAACAAAACCAAGAATTTAGCCTAAGAAATTATATAACAGTAGCCGGTCTATTAAACTAAAATTTCTGAGGTAAAGTGTTTTTAAAAATCCTCTGCAGATGTTCCTACTACATGCCTCAGTTAAAAATATACATAATATTAGATGAATAGACAAGAGACATAACATTAGATGAATATTTAAATAATAGTTCTCTAGACCTAGTATTTTTTAAAGCACTGAAATATTCTGTTATAATACATAATCACACAATCATTTTTCTTTCCTACTAGAATTACATGTTTGTTCTCAACATAGCTAACCACTTCTCTTTCATTTTTCACCTCTAAAAATAATTTTTTAGCCGGTTTGGCTCAATAGTTAGAGCATCAGCCTGCGGTCCAGAGAAACCCGGGTTCGGTTCCCGCTAAGGGCACATATCTCAGTTGCAGTGTGTCCCCGGCCCTGGTTGGGTCGTGCAGGTGGCAGCCACTCGATGTGTACCTTTCACGTTGATGTTTCTCTCTCTCTCTTCCTCTCTCTCCCTCCTACTCTATCTGAACAAAAAATTAAAAAAAAATGTCCTCGGGTGAGGATAAAAAATAATAATAATAATAATTATAATAATTTTTATATGATCCAATTACCTTTACTTGATTATCTTAACTGTAAATTTGAAACATTTTTAGTTGCATTGAATTTGTATAATCATATATAGTATCCTCTTTGGGAGAGGTATATATTTAAATTTCCAGTAACTAAACAGTTAATACTTATAGGAGCTTTAGTATAAAAGATAAATATTGCTTTACAAAACTATGCAAAAAAAATTCTGATGAAAAATCAGGTTTACCTCAGTAACAGTCAATGCTTAATTTTTTGTTAAAAAAACAAAATGATTTGCAAATATATTTATTGACAATTAAATGCATCCGATTTATTTTATAATATCATTGTGAAAATTTTGGGTTATTTTAACTTTTTAAAGACTTTTCCCTTCAACTTTATAACTCTCTGGGCTGACCAAATTCATCATTAAAAACAAACAAAAAACACCTATGTTTAAAAATAGTTTGATCAATCTAAATCTTTAAATCACGTAATCAAAATTACTCTAAAAAGTCAACCCTGTGCCCTTTCTTTCATGAGTACTATTGGTTAACCTGAGGATTTTGGTTTTTTTAGAACTCTAATTTGACAGAATAGGCAAAATACAATAGCCTCATTATAAAAAGTTTGTCACAAGGGACCTTATACTGATGTAAATATTATTCCTGGAAAAGTTTTAACTTGGTTCAGCATTGACTTACTCATTGTAGACAATCTTTATACCTTACTTTTTCCTCTGTGAAGGTTCAAGTGAACCTTCTATTGGGAAAGAAGAAAAGTTTGCTCTTGTGTACAGATTTCCCCACCCCACACTGTCATAGCCTGCTGTGTGCACATTACCCACTGCTCCTGGTCATGGCTGCTTATCCCTAGGACTGTGTACGCTTGGGTGAATGCATGATATGAAAGTATTTGAGTTAGAAATTACTTTTCCATGTATGGTATCATTACATTAGTCTTGGAGGGTTACTAAGACATGCCAAAACATTTCTGAACATAAGTGATTTGTTGAGAGATATGGATGATATGGGTTTGCTTCAATGCATTTCATGTAGCTTTTTCTGTGTTGCAATATAATGTAATGGTGCAATGGTTTGCTGAGAGAAAATGCATTCACACTGTATTCTAGTACCTCCATCTTCCTATTTATTATGGCATATTAACTGTTATTTATATATACAGATGAAATAAGCATGGACCATTAGTTCTGGATTTTGAAAATAATTACCAAGTTTAGGCACAATTCTTATCTTTAAAAAATAACAATATCATTTACCGTACTTCGACTATCTGTACAAAACATCATTATTTTATTTACTTATGTATTTATATGTGGTATTACTTAAAAAATAACTCAAGATATCTTCTAAAAAGGACAAATAATAGATTTTTCTGCCTTATACATTTTGTCAGCTCTATAGACTTAGGGCAAATACAAATATACATGTGCTCTATTTTGGTTGAGTGGATGAGGATTCACAGTTGAAAACAGTATGACACCCATTACACTAAACTATTTAATAAAGTTTTCATTCTATTTATGCTGTTTTCCAGAATATAAGATATTCTTTTAATAGGTAAGTGTTTCCTACAAATTTTTTTTTATTCATCTGAAGACAAATAGTTTCCAACTAATTTCAAGCAAATTCTATTTTAATGATTCTAATATACATGAGTTAGAAATTTCATCTTTTCCAGGAAAGTAAAAATTATAAGAATTTAATTATTTTTTGCAAACAAGTATTTAGAGTTTAGGTTCAACACAGCTATTTTTTAAAGCTATAGTGCCTCTGAAATACCTATTTAGGAAGATAATATTCAATAAAGTAATATAATATTTAATTTAATTTTACATGTATTGTAGGGACTTTCATCTCAAAGTTACAGTATGCTTTTTACACATGCTGTCTAATATATATATATATATATATATATATATATATATATATATATATATATAATTTTGCGAATCATCATGTAAGGATATATTTTCCATTGATTTCTAGAGAGAGTGGAAGGGAGGGAAGAAGGGGGAGAGAAAAACATTAATGTGAGAGAGACACATTAATGGGTTGCCTCTCACACCTGCATCCCAGGTATGTGCCCTTGACTGGGAATCAAACCCATGACCCTTTGGTGCAAAGGCCAACACTCTAACCACTGAGCAAAATCAGCCAGGGCTGTCTATTATATATTATGTCACTCCATGATTATGAGTTGGCACTGAAACTCATATTATGCTAGAAATAGATATATAGATCATTTAAAAATGATTTAATTAATTTCTCATCGATCCCCTAAAATATATGCATTGAATTTTCATATTTCATCTAAAACATTCATTTTTAAGTTGACATTTTACCTTTCAACAATTTCCAAATTATTTCTAAGTCTAAATTCAATATGCTAGCATAAACTTGGTTAATTCATAACTAATTCATATCTCATCTATAATAAATGCAAGGTTTTCCTAGGAGCTAGATTTTAAATAATTTTACATTGACAATTGACTTGCAAACTTTAAAGTATTTTTAACCTCATTTGTAATTGCATTTTTAAAACCCCTCTGTTTTTAAATACTATAGAAATGTATATAGATGTATTAAGCTGAATATTTTATTTTAAACTAATACTTATTTTAGAAAAACAATTTAAAATTATTCACATATTTCATCTTACCTTAAAATTTTCTAAGCAATGATAATTTTTTCCAACAAAAATAAGTCACTATATTATTAGTATTTTTATTTTAAAAATACACACACTTTTAAATCATGTAACTGAAATTAATAACAATTTAAATTTTCTCTATCTGCCACTTTCCTATTTGGCAATTAAATTTACAGGAAATTGCCCTGGCCGGTTTGGTTCAGCGGTTGGAGGGTTGGAGCGTCAGCCTATGGACCAGAGAGTCCCAGGGATCGGTTCGCTGGGGTCACGTACCAAAAAAAAAAGTTACAGGAAATTACTTAAACAAAAAGATCTTAGGATCATTTAGTTTACATCTTGATTATATAAAATAAGACACCCCAAAGGTACCTACAAGGGAAGAAACATTAAGATAAAAATAACATATCTAATGTTGCTGTATCTCACAACAATTCACATAATCATTACTAACACTCCTAGATGCTTAATGTTTTGTTACCACTCATTGAAAATCTTCATGCCTTCACTACTCCCACACCCCCATAAGAATTTTTTTGTTGTTGTTATTTTTGAAGACAAAGAAAAGGATAGGAAATTCTTACCTCATTTTAGATAGATAGATAGATAGATAGATAGATAGATAGATAGATAGATAGATAGATAGATGATAGATAGATGATAGACATAGAGATATTATACACGATGATAGAAATGAATGAAGCAATTCAACTAAATGACTATATCTACACTCAGATTTTTAATCTATAATATTTCTAGCTATAATATGCAAGTTATATAAATCAGTCTTTGTCATAATTCTCTAAATAAAATGAAAAGCATTTAGAATATTTCATAATATAGTATTGATGCTTAATAACT